GAAAACATTTTTCAAGTTAAGGAATGTTAATTTTATCAACCGCCTATTGACTATAAGATATTTAATAATACTATCAATAGTAGCGTTAATGTAGTGATAAACGTTTATTTTCTCAAGGTGGAATACAAAACTGTTTCAATGCTGTCACAACATGCTTTAGTCATATACATAAAGTATCAACATCAAATACACATTATTTATTATACTTAATGGTAATTGGCTAAAATTGTGTTTCCCGTCAGGCTACAGTTAGTTATTTTCTTTATTTATGATAAACTCGAATATAGATACTGATCAAGATTGTAGCAAATAGAAATGATACAATTATTTATTTGATATCTGCTGTAGAAATGTGATAAATTATTTTATTATTATATGAATAAGTTTATGGTGACTGATGAACTTAAAGATAGTTGACACCGTAGATTCAGGTGGTAAATGTAAATTGGTCGATGTTAACACTACATGGTCTGAAGGTGGTTTAAAAGTCCCTGATATAATATTTGCTGATATCATAAGTGTGAGATAGTGTTCAACGGTTTTAAGTGGTCACTAGAGTACAAGTTCTTCACTTTGCAGCATCAATTCTTTATTTTTTTTAAGTTTGTAATCTTTTGATTTGCTTACGAACATGGGTAGAATACTTCCAGGAACTCTTGAATAGACCAGCTCCACTGAACCCATTGGATATCGAAGCAGCACACACAGACCTTCCTATAGATAGCACTTCACGGAAGGAATCAGGATGATTATCAGACGACTCAAAATAGGGAAAGCAGTAGGACCTGACAATATACCAACTGAAGCTCTCAAGTCACATATAGAAGTAACTGCAAGCCTGCTCCACGTTCTTTCAGGAGGATTTGGGAAGAAGAACAATTGCCGACAGACTGGAAAGAAGGACAACTCATCAAGATACCAAAGAAAGGAAATCTGAGTAAATGTGAGAACTATAGAGGGATTGCACCACCATCGGTATCAGGAAAAGTTTTCGACAGAGTGTTGCTGAACCGTATGAAAGACTCAGTAGACGTCCAGCTTCGAAATCAAAAAGTCGAATTCCGTAAAGGTCGGTCGTGCACAGAGCAAATGGCAACACTACGCGAATTGGAATCAGACATGAAAAGAATACATAGCAACTGGAAAAAGACTGGAAAGGATTATCCAGGATAGGAAAAAAAGTAAGTAAGAACAAATTAGTTATTTCATTTGATCGGAGTGCCCTCTTAATCAAGATCAAATATCTCTTACAACTAAAAAACGGATATCTTAAGCAAAACGATTGAACCTTATTTGACAGACTGCGTATTTATTTCAGTTTATTGACTTGTGCTTCATTTAGAGAGCAGTTAGTTAAATGCAAATGTAATGATATATCAAGGTTATACCGAAAACTGTTTGTTTCGTAGGTTAATCTTACATTCACTTGCTAAATGTTATTAGCTCGAGTTTCATAGGAATTCGCATTTTCTTTAAAATTGCAGATAAATTTTAGTAACGAGTGCTAAACAGTATAAAACTTATATTCTGGGCTTTTTACTTATTATCTTCAGTCATTTTCTATAAAAACATGTCTGTTTACCTAAATTACGGGATGAAAGATAAACCTGAACCAACACTATAGAACAGACAAAGATGATATTAATACCCACTCAATAATCAACTCATGTTTCCCCACCAAGTGTAAAAATAGTCTTCAGATTATTTCATCAAGTTATTGTTTGTATTATATTATAGCAAAATAAAGAACCTCAGTTGCTAATACTCAGAGATTTACTTTTCGAAAGAATACTGATTTAGTTACTCATAAATGCTAGTATGAAATTTACTAAGATCACTTTTACTCTTGTGATAATTAATGTTAGATTTTATGTGATTTATTCTCATATTTCCCGCAAATGATTTCATTAATTCTTCTTAATTAGAAGTGAAGTGAATGTTATGGTTCGGATTGACAACTCATAACTGCGTAACACTGAAGGTTATAAGGCTAGCTTTGGTGAATATCTTTTGTGTAAAGGTTAGTTAGCTTAATTGGTTAAGGAAACAACAGTTCAAAAGCGGGGATTCAATTTACAACTGAAAAGCAGTGTATAGTTAGATTGCATTCGAAGTATCGAGATATTTAACCATATTAACATGAGTGACCTCAAGACGACAAACATTGTTAAATATTAACACAATATAAAATGATAAAAAACTGAGTAGAACGTATACTTTTAAACCACATAGTCTCAATGATCTAGATATAACATAATAAAGTTGATGACTGAGTTTAACTTTCGCTGAATCATGTTTTGCGATCTTGTTGAGGTTACAAGTTTTTAATCCGTATTGATATTAAGTGCATTTTAACTAAACGCTTGGAAATTTTATTCTATTTCCAATTTGCAATAGTTTCTCTACGTACAAAGCAGCTTGTGAAAATCACTTGTTTATTCGTTGAATCAATTTCTATTCGTTTTGCCAAGAGAGTTATGTGTAATTTTTCAGTTATTTGTTTACATTTCACACCATATTAAATTACGCTGGGTGATTAAGAGGTATTGGATCTGAGTTTCCTATCAGCTAGCTCTGAACAACCTAAAATATTAACATAGTGGACGCTATATCAAGCCTCGCAGACTGGGGTACATAGTCCCACCTGATCAGCAGAATTCTAAGCTAAACAAATATGACAAGGGCCAGCACTACGTAATCAATCAATTGTAAATATACAAGTATATGTTTCAGATTTGGTTAGCATTTACCTTAAGAGGAATCGAATTTCAGAATAAAGAAATATTTTGAATTTACTAAATTCATTGTTAACACAATACTTCTAAAAAGTAAGAACATTCATCAATCCATATTTAGATGAATATGCATTTCACTTCAGCAATTTCATGAAGAGACTTTAACATTTAAATATATTTGAACACAAGATACATTTGAAATTTACCTACACAATATAATCGACTGACAAGATTATGCTGATTCCTAGGTACTATAGAATAAACACAGAGTAATTAATATTTATTTCGAATGCTTTTACTCAGAACCACAAATTAGCACTGCATTTAAAAAGAAAGGATCAACCCAATGGAGGAAAAAAATTTGGAAATCGAGATGCTTTCCCAAATAAATATACATGTACATTGTAAGGAAGGTAAATACTTGACTGAAAAATCATTTATATACATTCAAAGACATTAAAGTGCCTACCACTTTGGAGATCCAAGTATACACATTTGATAAATCCTGTATAGTATAATGCGATTTGGATACTTCCGAATATCGTATGACAATTGTCAGTAAAATTTTTGATATACTTCGTTACTACAAAAGTCTTTTTTCTACTTAAAACATCCATAATTAGGCTAACAGGAAAAACTAATAATTTCATCATACTTTATTTATGCCTAACTCTAAGCTCGTGTCATTCCGCAGTTATCAACAATTATCTGCAGAACTTGTAGTTTTTTGAGTGGCTTTGACCAATTATTCTCGTAAGAGATGAAATGATTTAAAAAGTTCATCATTCCTTTGATGTAAAAATTATACTACTCACCAGTAGTGTAGAACGTTGTCGTTGTTGTTACCGCATACACATCTGTGCACCTTATTCATTCTATAAACTTTTCAAGATTTTATACCCATATTCAGTGAATTTCAGAGTGTTGAAACAAAATGCTTTTTATTTACTTGAAATTCGCTCATAAGACTGAATAAAAAGACTATAGATTAGAAGCAAAGCCAATAAACATGTTTGACTATCACCCCGGAAATGTGATTAAGATAGTTATTTTCGAACATAAGACAGACAGATAAAACTGCCATTAAACTTCGCTTCTTTGTGCATATATGTCATCCTGTGAAGTTGATGAACATGTTCATAATATAAAAGTAGAACAGCTTACTCAGGACAGATATGAGGAAAACTTTTATCACGCAGTTAAGAACTCTCAATCATCATGTGTTCCAGATTGGCCATCCACACTATAAAACTCAAAGCCGTGTTTTCGTTTCGCCAACACTTCGATTTGGCTGTCCCTTAACCTTGGCCATCTTATGAAATATTTTCTGGGGTCATAAAGCAAGTTCATAGTTTGTTCAAAAGATCAGCGTAGAAACAATTTTTTGTGTGTGATGTGATGTTTATAAACCGTATATTTAATCCCTTGATGATATCTCAAGGCTTAAGAATGATTGCAGTCAGCTTTTGGTTTAGCCAACAACTCACTCCTCAGGTTTCATTAACAAGGATTCGTGTTAGTTCCACCGTCGTTCATTTGGTTTATTTGTGTCCTAATCGTTTAATAATGATGTGTTAATGTTATCTTTTATTTAAATCCAAGACAGTGAATCTTAGTTTTAGGAGCTACTTGCAAGCCAACAAAATCAAATAGTCTAAATGACTCAGTATTAACAGGTAAACTAAAACAATGGTTCAGCAAATGTGAAACAGTTTAAAAAACGCCATCATCTAAAATTCGTTGTAGCGGTAAATAAATCCCCGAAATAAATAGCTCTGTACGTTTCGACATTGGATGCTGACCACATTAGTTTTAATGTACTCACCTAGCTAAAGACGCCTGGTCATGCATCCGCACTAGATCACGAGTGAAAACGCCGTTCTCAACAACCCCTGCGGTCGCTAGCCAGATTAGATCAGACGATCCTTGATATATTGATAGCCTATCAAATATATCTTCAAACCTCCTCGCTTCTCCCTTTTGATTTCACTTGGTGGGTACGATTCATATTAGGTGTTACTGGTTAAAGTGTTGTCAAACTCCGAATACCTGTGGCATCTTCATCGTTATCCACATTTTGAGTAAAATAATATGTTCAGTTGGTTTACAAACACAGTTACGTTTATTTATAAAATTTTCAGAAAACAAACATAATTTTTCACTTGTAAAGGGGTTTACCGGAGATTTTTGAAAGATTTCGAAGGCTATTGTTTAGAAAATGGTTAGGAAGTAGCATTTTAGTCGGTGATTTGCGTGAAGTATGGGCTAAAAACAAATTGATGAACTAATCTCAGACCGTTTCGAGAAATTAAAATGTGATTGACGATTACCCAAACCAAAAGGACTCGGGTACGTTGAGTCAGGTGAGCATCTAGGAAACTTTGGATTTAGAGTATCTGAAGACTGAGTTGATTGTGCTGATCTGATATGTATATGATCGGAAAAACAAGTTCGGTCGGAGTCAGATCGTTTAGATAGATTTAACCTGCTAATATCTCCTTCGAGTTGTGACAATTTATGAGTTGATGCAACCAGTTTGTCTCTTAGTTCTTCACATTCCTTTTCTATCTAAATAAGGTATAAAATACTAATAAATTGCCCATACAGCATCCTTTTCATTTTGTAGTTTGTTAATTTTCTGTTCAAGATTGCCCAACAACGACTTGCACTGAATTTCCATGTTTTTATACTTTTCTTCCAGTTTGTAATTAATATACTCTAAATATTTAACTCCCTGAGCTGTTTGCAAGGTGAAGAATTCAATAGCTCTTCGACACACATCGAAAACTGTGTCAGGTGTTTGACCCATCAGAATCATGCTTCTAAACTGTTCGCACGGCTGTAGGTCAACCTGATGCATATGGATAGTTTTTAGGTAAATCTTACTTCGATTATATCAGAATTTTCTTTAAGTCGGTACTTACAGGCTGGGCACTGAAATGTTCCGTCAGAAGTTTTAAGTTGAAGAGGACTGTGATTAATACAGAATATGTGTTTGCATACAGTGCCAACGGCACAGACTTTCAAGGGCTGTCTACATTTTCTGTAGTTGCACACAAGCATATCGCACAAACAAATAAACTGTTTGACTCTGCGCCTAAATTGGTTTCGGTTCCGCAAAGGTAGTTGAGCAATATTCAAAGTCCAAATGGTTCAAATGGTTCAAATGGTTGTGGACGGAATAGAAGAAGCTTTCGCTTAACAGGCTTCCGTGTCTAGTAGCAGGGGATCACCAAATCCTCCAGGCAGGAACCTAGGTATGTTAACAATAAAAGAGGAAAAGAGATTGGTAAATCATAATGTGATGCTGTTCTTGGTCCTTAAGAATAGGTCAAGTTGCCTCTTGAAGGACTCCTGAGAAGTCGCTTGGACTAGCTCGGCTGGCAGCGAATTCCAGCTTTTGACAACTCTTAAGGAGTAGAAATTGTGTCTACATTCCGTCTTGCTATGTTGTGTTTCCAGTTTCTGGGTGTTACCCCTTAGGTTGTTATTCGAACTAAGCTTAAGTAGGTGTTTAAGAGGATGTCCAGAAGTGTTAAGAATACTATAAGCCATTAATAAATCACCTCTAAGACGCCTATATTCTAATGGGTAAAGGTCTAGTGAACGGAGGCGTTCTTCGTAAGGCTTAGATTTGAGTCCTCGAACTGATTTCGTGGCTCGCCGTTGGATACGCTCCAAAGTGACCTTGTCCTTTTGGAGTGAGGGGGGAGTACTATGTTTCCGTACTCTAAATGGGGACGGATGAAACTATTGAAGATTGTGTGGAAAGTTCTTCCGTCAAACTGGCCAAAAATGCGCCTCAACGTTACCAGTGCAAGGTTTGCTCGGAAGGCATTTTTGTCACAGTTGGCGTAAGACTTCAAATCATGGGGCACCAGGACTCCTAAATCTTTTTCGACTTGGGATACTACTAGAGAGGAGTTTCCTAAGTTGTAACTGTAGTTTGCAACATGTCGCAGATGGACTACTTTACACTTTGAAGTGTTAAAGGTAAGTCCGTTATCGTCTGCCCAACTTTGAAGTCGAGTCAGATCCTCCTGAAGTGCCTGTGTATCGTCTTGGTTGCGTATCTCTCTCCAAAGTTTCACGTCGTCGGCAAAAAGTAATAAATCTGACGTTACCTGTTGAGGAAGATCATTTATGTAGATCAAGAAGAGAAGAGGCCCTAGTACTGAGCCCTGGGGGACCCCACTAGGACATTCCATAGCCTGAGATAAAGTGAAATTAACCCTAACCTTAAAGTGTCGATTTTTTAGGTATGAAGTAAGCCAATCGATTAGGGTGGTTTGATACCTAGTCGTTTGAGCTTGTTGATAAGACACATGTGGTTAACCTTATCAAAAGCTTTTGAGAAATCAAGGTAAATGACATCAACCTTTCCCTTGCAATCGAGGATGCTTGTCCATCTGTCCACCGCAGTCAGCAGGTTGGTTATACAAGAGTAACCCTTCCTGAAACCATGCTGTTGGGGTGAGAAGAAATTTAAGGACAGTAGATAGTCATTTAAACCGTCGCATATCAGGGACTCCATGAGTTTTGAAGGTAATGACAGAAGAGCCACCGGCCGATAACTTGAAGGTTCATTGCGTCGACCACCTTTGAAAATTGGTGTGATGTGAGCCAACTTCCAATTTTCCGGTAATTTGCCTCGGCTAAGCGAGTGAGAAAACATCACGCTAAGCGGCGTTGCCAGGATTGAGGCTGCCTCCCTCAGTATGGCAGGATGAACCATATCCGGGCCAGGAGAAGTGTCTAATCTTAAGTGCTGCAATTTCCGGAACACCAAGTCAGCGCTTAGGTCCACTTCAGAAAGTCCTGTGGAATTGCAGATGAAACTGTCGTCAGTAAAGTTGATGTCAGCCGGTTGAAATGTTTGAGAGTAATGTGCCGCCAGAAGGTTAGCGGCGTCGCCATCGTTGTTGGTCGGGCCGTTAAGACCTACCAGTTGAGAAACTCCTGTTTTGGCTTGACGAAGAGAGGCTGCATAACGGAATAAGCTTCTAGGGTTAGAGGCGAATTTGTCCATAAGCTTTGTTTGGTACTGAAGCCTGTCTTCTCTTATAGCCTTCGTGCATATGTTCCTGATATGTTTATATTGCCTATACGCTCCATCGTTATTAGTTCGTTTGTATTCCGCCCAGCAGTGCCTTTTGCGGCTTAGCAGGCGAAGGGTACGGTTCTTGATTACTGTAGGTGGCTTGCAGCTTTTGGGAACCGTTTGAGGAACTGAATGGTCTGTAGCACATAAGAGCGTGTGCAGTAACTTGGATACGGTAAAAAGGATCATAAGTTTTCGGGAATGTACATCTTAGTTTAGGAAAGAAGCTTTTCGTCGGAAAACAACATTGCAATCGTTTAAATTCCTCAGAAACGTAACGGACTGGTTTGGCAAGAATAGTTACGTGTGCGTGCCCACAGTTCTGCTCGAACTCAAACAGCTTGCTTGCGAAGCCATTGTAATGTTGAATGCTGCCAAAAGAGTATTAGCCAGCCTAATCGAAACACATTAGGCGGTATCCGTTCGGCTGGTAGGGAAATCGATATGAAGTTACCTCAATTAAGCTCAGAGTCGATTGCCTTACATTGGCCAACAGACGAAGAACGGCTTATAAAGAGGTATATTAGAGATAAAGACTCAGGAGAGGGAGTTTCTTCTGTCTCTCGTCATATAACTGGCAGCGAGCAGGCAACACCTAGAAAACCTAACCGCAAAGTTAGATTTTTTTCTATCAGAAAAACCAGCATCGACAATCATCTCATTGTGATTGCTACTCCGGTGAACGTTGATAACTGGGCAGAAATCAAGAATAAGAAATGACCTAGTGTTGCTAAAAAGAGGCTTGTCCCCCAAACAGTAACCAATAGGCAGGATATTACATCACGGTCGAAAGCCGTGAACACGACTTTCAAATAAGTGAAATCTGTCCCTAGTTTGATTGTTTGGAATGTGGAGAAGTCTAACAATAATGAGTCTACTATGAGGCATGCACACTATTTGGATTTAGTTAAACCTGTCATCAGAGGCGTACTTCTATAAGGAGCTACAGGCGTACACGTCACGAAAGTAATATGACTCGGAAAGTGGGTTGGAGGTCAGACCCAACCAAGAAGGCTCATTAAGTTAATGTTCGGAATTTATGAAGAAAAGACATACTGAATAATACATACAAAACTCGCCGTCCAAATATTTGTGTACGACCGAACTGGCCACTCAAGGGTCGCATCAAGTGAAAAAATGCTCTTACAGAGTTGAAAACTCGAAAGCTAACTGGAAAAAATATCTGAAATTCGGGCTTTTCGAATGGTCACGTCTTGCTTCAGAGACCTGTATGGGTTGACAGAGTACTTCTCAAGACACTTTTCGATGGTAACCTGCTATTAGCCATTAATCGGTGTGCGTTTGTGTAATGTGTTGCTAAACCGACACACGTAGACTTAGAACATGAGCCATCATAGCCGATCTTGTCCTTATGCACCACTGTGACTGTTTCATACACATTCAGCACCTTCCTCCACCAGCAAATAGTTGTCACGTTGTACTTTACTTTAAGTTTCGGATACGTGATATGTGACACGTATCTGCCCCATAACGTCCCAATATCCGGTTAGCTTGCATTCCAATAATCAGAGTCTGTGCTGTCTCAACAGGCTGGTCGGTCAGTGTAGATGGGTGAATCGAAGACGAGTCCGTAACATCAACGTATGTCACATGGTCAAAACGTAGGCTATCATGCTGCCCTCCATGGATTAACAGAGAAAGCTGAAAGCTATTGAAGTGTAAGTAACAATTCTGCAACTTATTCTTGTCAACAGGACACGAATCACTTCCGTGTAGATACCGAAAAATCCGGAATGTATGTTAAAAGATCATAGCTAAATGCCGTACTATATACGAAAGGCAGATGGCGGCGATAGCGGCACTTTCGCGAAACAATTGTTCTTTTTACACTTAGCGAAGAACAAAGCTTAGTAATGGTATTTCTTTATTATTGTTGCACGAAAATCCAGATATACTTGTTTGATCGGATCTGACCTAAGCGGATAATTTACCAAACAATTTCAGCGGAGTCTGTAGCATACGGGTATTGCCAACAATACTTATGACGATCAAGGCCATTGAGGTACGGGCTATGGGACCTGTACATGTGAGTGAGGGAACAGTTGTTCGATTGAATGTTGACCTCAAACGTAGTGTGATACTAAGCTCTGATAGGTTATATCCACGGGTGTTTGTCATCTCCCTTGGACATTATTTCAAGGCCCCTTACGTAAATATGTCTCTTTCCTACAATTAACCCCCAGGGACTAGGAAGATGATATAGTCAGTCCTGTTTAAAGATATTCAGAGACCGATCTTATCTATCTGCCAACCGGCTTAGTAGTCACGTACTCGAAAAGACAATTCGGACTAAGCTACTAAGTCTCATAAAATCCTGCAGTTTATTAACTGTCGAACAACACAGAATTCGAAGCAAGCATTCGTGCTTGACCAAATTACTAACTGCGAGGAAGGATAGGACGACAGCCCTAGATAATGGTCTGTCTGTCTATCGGTGTGACAACCATAGACTTGTAGAGGTAAATAAATCCCCGAAATAAATAGCTCTGTACGTTTTCGACATTGGATGCTGACCACATTAGTTTTAATGTACTCACCTAGCTAAAGACGCCTGGTCATGCATCCGCACTAGATCACGAGTGAAAACGCCGTTCTCAACAACCCCTGCGGTCGCTAGCCAGATTAGATCAGACGATCCTTGATATATTGATAGCCTATCAAATATATCTTCAAACCTCCTCGCTTCT